ATTATTATTACAGGCAAAGTCAGACTTTCACCAAAGTGTTCCTGGATCATGGTGCCATGATCAACTAAAGCTGCACCCCTATACCTCATTCCATGAGATCATGAACTCATGAATAAAACTAAAAAAAAAAAAAAATGAACTCATGGAATTCGTGTAATCTTTACACAAGGGGATAAGAAACAACAACAGCAGCTTGTTATAAGAAATAAGGCTAACACAAGGCCCTCAGCAACCATCAGATTTAATCACTGCTGATCTGAAAATGGCAACAATGGAGTTTCTGAAATGGCAAGTTGGAGAGTTTGTAGTTTATTTAGAAATGGTGGTGGGGCACATATCCCAAGTAACCAACATGGTGGGTAGTAGCTGACGACTGCTTTTACTATAAATACACTACACATGTAGAAGGCAATTTGACTTTTGCACTTACAAATGTGCCAGAGCCCCGTTTGGTTACTTACAATTACTGGTAGGGTTGGACTTTTAAAAGAATTAGGGCTAGAATTGGAGTTTTTTTTTTTTTTTTTGCTTATCCCTAGTACCCGTGGTACAGGCCATGATAATCATGGTGGGTAGTTAGCGACTGCTTTTTACTGTAAGCGCACCACATGTCTACACATGTGAAAGCAGTTCGACTTTGCACTTACAAATGTGCCAGAGCCCCGTTTGGTTACTTGCACTCGGTGGTGGGGTTGGACTTTTGCAAGAATCGGGGGGGCCATTGGAGCATTTTTTTTTTTTTTAAACAGAAAAAAGTGATCTCTTGCACCAATTGTGCTGGAAACAGGATGATCATGGTGACTATGACCATCACTAAATGTGATCTCTTGCACCAATTGTACTGGAAACAGGAAACATGTCCAATGCGGGGATCGAACCCGGGTCGTAGTGGTCGTAAACCAAATGGTTTAACCAGCCTTCCACCGACCCCCCAAAATTGGAGTAATTTCTTTTAGAAACAAAGTGCCACCTGTGGGATTCAATCCCGGAATGTGGCTTTTTAAAATCAACAGTTTATAACCACTCCTCCACCAACCATAACATGAGATAACTGAAGAACCTCCATGAGAGGACACTCATGCTAGAGAACACCTCTCTACAAAGGTCAGTTTTCATTGTCCAAATTACCATTTTTACACTATTTATAAACTCTTCAGTAAGAGGACACCTCTCTCTAAAGGACACTTTATCTCTGCAATTAGGTGTTGTCCTTTACAGGGAGGTTCTACTGTATATAGTATCTACTGTATCAACAGCAATATGTCTAACTCAGACCTTGATTTTGACTCTTTCAAATGCCTAAGAAACATACAATCTAAAATACAGGAGTCAACATTCCATCATTGGTATCTGAACCAAAAGCCTTGAGCTATTCTGGAATGTGAGATGGACCAATAGGCAGCAACCTGTATTTCCAGTCTCAAAACTGGCCATACAAGACCACTCCTCTTCCAGGATGGTGTCAAGACACAATGTACCATCTGCAAGACCAAAAAGGTTTCACCAGACCAACTCTTGGAATGTATGGGAGCCTCAAGACAGGACCTATATTCCAGTCCTAATAAGATTTAGTCAAAAGACGATCCATTAAATAAGTTTATATAAAAAAGGGCCTACCTGGATCTGTAAATAAAATATTGTTTATTTTTCTTTACAGATCCAGATAGGCCCTTTTTATATAAACATACCAAGATTGTAAATTTAATCCATGAATTCAGTCTCCATGAGACCTTGTATACTAAGAATTATACATTGGGATAATAAAAAAACTATTAGATAGTAAAAAAGCATATATTGGATTGAATAAAAGATTTATTTGCCAATATTTCGGCTGGCTAAACGCCAACCTTTATCGTGGCATTACATTTTTGTATACACAAACTCAGCGCCGCATAGTGTTATAATATCACAGTTAAAATCAATTAAAATAATTTTTTCATGCACTAATTTCCCCCACCTACTTTGTATTTTTTAATTATTTCAACTGTGATATTATAACACTATGCGGTGCTGAGTTTGTATATACAAAAATGTAATGCCTTGATAAAAAGTTGAGGTTCAGCCAGCTGAAATATTGGCAAATAAATATTTTATTCAATCCAATACACCTATCCCCCGATTTACACGGTAGATACGTTCCTGAGAAAAACATGTAAATCAGGGGATAGGTGTACACAGAAATAAAAATAAAATGCATTGACAGGTTAAAATATGTAGTCAGCACATAAGCTCGGGATTCCTCGTGAGATGTGTACACAGCGCATGTGTTCAATCACAGTAGCATTTAGTATAGTGCGATAAAAACAAAAAAAAAAACTTATTTGGGAAACCGTGTAAAACAAGTACCATGTAAATCGGGGATAGGTGTATATGCCTTTTTACTATCTAATGATATTTAAGTATGGATTTCTCTATTTTCAGAAAAATAAAAAACAGTATATATTTAGAGAGAAGTAGTATAGTATAGGTACTGGAAGGCAAGGGGCTGTAGTTGAGGGACTCCAGGCTCTGCTGCAGTCCACAGTGGCTCGTGCCGTTGCTGCTGCTGGTGTCTTCTGGTGAGGCCAGGCTGCTGTCATCTGCCACACCACAGCTCTGGAGATTGAAGGCTCTCAACCTGGCATCCATGACACTCACCTTGGGCATCTTCATCCGCAAGAGGCAGGCTGTTGATGACCTGGGCTAGAGTGGGCTCCATCTGCACAGCAGTTGGGGAGAACTACCATCATCATTATCCCTAGCACCATCTACCGGTGAAAATGTTATATTTTTATGGCAACTTTTTTTTTTTAAATAAAATTACATGGTAATAAGACCAAATCTAAATAAACACAAGGTAATAAGACCAAATAAATAAATAGTGTGTGACATTTCGGTAACAGCATTGTTACCATCTTCAGACAAAAGTACTGAATCATAAGACCAAATCCAAATAAATAAATAGTGTGTGACATTTCGGTAACAGCGTTGTTAACGAAACGTTACATACTATTTATTTATTTGGTCTTATTACCTTGTGTTCTCCGACAATGTCTGCATTTATCCTCCAGGTTCAACTGACATTGTATTTTAACTGTATTTGTGAATTGCTGGGAGGGTCAGTTAACATCTTGTTGAAAGATTTTTTTACTTCTTTATATTTAGAGTTTATTTATTCTTTCTTATCCCTAGTACACGTGGTACAGGCCATGATATTCATGGTGGGTAGTAGTTGGCGAATACTTTTATTGCTAATGCATCACATGTCTACACAAGGTAGGCGACTGCTTTTACTGTAAGTGCACCACATGTCTACACATGTGAAAAGCAGTTTGACTTTGCACTTACAAATGTGCCAGAGCTCCGTTTTGTTACTTGCACTCAATGGTGGGGTTGGACTTTTGCAAGAATCGGGGGCCATTGGAACATTTTTTTTTTTAATCAGAAAAAAGTTCCCAATGCGGGAATCGAACCCGGGTCGTAGCGGTAAAAAAAACCAACAGTTTAGACCACCCTTCCACCAACCCCCAGTCTTATTTATTGAATATACCATGTTACTTCATGCATAATTATCCAGATCAGAAATAGTGTGTCTCTTTATGTGCAACTAGTAATTGTTTAAAAATTATGTCAGAGAATCTGAGACATGTGTGTTAGAATTTCTTATAATAATACTTTTTTTTTTTTTTTTGGTAAATATAGTTTGAAATTTTCGTCTGCTATATTTCCTCTGTCAAAGAAAAAAATATTAATATATATTTTTTTAAATGTGGAAACACAGAGAAAATATATTTAAATTTTAAAAATGTAAATTTAAAAATATGCAAAGCAATTTAACAAAAATGGTAGTACAATTTTACTTTTTTTACTATTTTTTTCATACCGCAATTTAAGTTTCAAATTATTTCCTTTTGGTAGAAAATTCATCATACTATGTTATTAATTTGATATAATAACAGGATATAATAATTTAAAAATATTTAATTTTAGTAGTAATCACTCTAGCTATTCTTTTCATGTCAACATATGATTGTTATGTATAGCGATTGTTAAAACAAAAAATCTATTTAGAATATAATTAATTAAATCGTAAAATGTTTCAAATATTTTAAATGATTATGTACTATATATACACTAATAAATCATTTAAAATGAGTTTTCTTATTTGAAACTAACCTTATATTTAAATTGGCTTTGCTTTTAAACCTTGGTAACAAAAATCTATATAAATATTTTGGGACCCCAAGGTGGTCAGATTTATTTTGATTTTTGGCTTTCTCAACTAAGAATATAAAAACGACAAATTTATATATTTTTAAAAAAGAAAAACTTTTTTTCTCGATTCTAATTTTAAGAACATTTTGATAATATTTCGTAAGATGTAAAATAAAATTCTTCAGTGTAGTTGGTATTTTACGAATATATATATTCTTTCAACTAATTTGTGTTATGAATATGTAAAATTGTAATTTATAGTTAAAATATTTGTGTTAAATTATATAATCCCAGATAACAAATAACTTTGAACTAATTCTCATAAAATTTTTGAATGGTTCTGGCCTTTAACCCTCTCTTACCCCGCTGATGTCATCATCATGATGACCTATTTTCTGAAGAGGTGGATGATGCAAAACTCTTGTTTAGGCTTCGTGTTTAGAGTTCGTTCTCGGATTTTTTTTTCTTTGGTCGATTTTTTTTTCAAATAAATAATTATGTATTATTTTTTTCATTGCAATAAAAAAAAAGGGGCAGTAGAAAATTGTTTAATTTTTAAAAGAATCGTACGCGTCTATAATAGTTTCGAATTCTCATAATAGATGGCGCGCAAATGTATAATAAAATAATTATGTATTGAAATGTTTAAAATTTTATATCCTGATAAAAAGCGGTTAAATATTTGACCTTGATACAAATATGGATTTGACATTTACTTTGAAAAGCGATTTCGTCCAAATAGCAAATATTCATAGTATAGAATGTGACATTGTCTATATAAAGCTGAGCCAATGATATATCTATAGACCTATATATGGTCGAACCAGGGACCTTTAGATCTTAGACTGAAGATCTAAAGGTCCCTGGTTCAATCCCGGGTTTCGGCATTTTTTTGCCTACGGCCATACCACATTGAAAACACCGGTTCTCGTCCGATCACTGAAGTTAAGCAGTGTCGGGCCCAGTCAGTACTTGGGAGGGTGCTGTAGGCTATTACCTTTTTGGGGCTAGAAGACCTTATCTGATAGGCCAATTAGCCCGGAAAACCCAATACTACTACTATATCTATAGACCTTGTAGCTATGGTACCTCCCTGATAAATTTTTTGACGTTTCATAACTTGCCGTTTTTTTTTTTTTAATAAAAGCGGCCAGAACTTGCAGCCATGGAGCATTGATCAAGTTCTTGAGATTTTCAACACATGCTGCCTCTCAAACCAATTTTGCAGCTGTAGTGACAGCTTGTTGAAAAGGCTTTTGCTTTCTCAAACTTCAGCCTCTAAAACAGGGACCAGATTGTACTTCTTTGCCAATCATTTTCTTATACCATATCAAATTGAAGCTTAATATAAGAGATATATAATTATTGTAAAAATTAAAAAACACCATGAATATTTGTTTTCTTTTTTTTTTTATAGTTTTCTTTCTTTTATATACACTAAAATTGCAACTTCAATCCATCAGATAATAACTACCTAAGAAAGATTCCTTTAAATATAATTATCTTTAGTGTTGCTAGGTTCATGCTAACAATCAATAATTTCAAATATTTATTTTTACAAATATATTATACTCAAAGCCTTAAAAGCATCATATCCAATTTACTTATATAAAAAAAAACTCTCTCACCAAATGAACATGCAAAACTCTCTGAATTAATAAATTCCTAAAAAGCACAACACTAAACATTTTCAACTTTCTTGTTTAGAAAACAATAACTTCAGACTTGGAAAATGCGATTGGGTGGTTGGAAATCAGTATGAAAAGAACAACATTTCATTAAAAGATACATTGAAAAGTGCATTTGAGTAAAAATCACTCCACAAAGCGTGCAAATTCAGATATATGAATATGCAACAACACTATCTAAAGAGACAAATTGGGACAAGCTTCAAGCATATGTTAGATTTTTATAATTTACGAATGCTGGTGTATGGCTATTGTGGTATGTTTAGTATTTTGAATATGTGCATTTTATGTAGATAAGAGTGAAAAAATATATTTATTAACATTTTAAATGAAAGAGGTGCCCTTTATTGCATATATATATAAACTCTCTCTCTTTATTCCAGATATTTTTCTTGTTACTTCTAGGTGCAATAAGTAAACCTGTGATGATAGGTCATGTTGACATACTTGGGACAAAGTTTAAGTAGGGATTTGTTTATCTTAACAAGAGGATTTGTGTAATGTAAACCTCCTATGTGAATCACCTATCTCAGCTCCAATAACGATCACCTATGTGTAAAATAAAAATTTTTGTAAAACTAGATAGAGGCCAACCCTTGACAGTATCTTCAAAATATACATATCTTGGCTACCCCTTAACTACCAAGAATCCAACTGCTTACGTGGCGCAGCACTTTAAAAGCAAAGCATTGGTTGCTACAAACGCAGTATGGAGAATACTATCTAAGTCAAGAACCAAATCGTTCAGAGCAGTGATGAAACTACTTGACTCCATAGTTTTATCCACGTTATTATATTCGCCCCCCCCCTGTGGGCGACAAATCAGATAGGAGTTGTAAACCAGATCCAGGATATTTTCCTACGGCGATTTCTTGACCTTCCCAAATATACCCCGGGCTACATCTTACGAACAGAAACCGGAAGGATGTCGCTGGAATTAAACATTACTAAATTGATTCTAAAGTTCTGGATACAGATTTTAAAAATGGACAGGACAAGATTACCCTATGTTTGCTTGTCCCAGCTCTGGAAAGTTTCAATTGTGGGAAAAGCGGGAAACAATTTTATTCATAAAACTCGAATAGCATCATTGACTCTAGGGGTTTTTCTTTTCTTAAGAACTGTGAAGATTATATGGTTGTGCGAGGAGAAATGCCTAGAATTATTCAAACCACAGTGGACCAGCTACTCCAATTTGACCGAGCTAAGATACAAAACTCAACTCATTTTATTCACTACCAATCTCTAAGTAGCTCCTTTATGACGGAGGACTACTTACTATCAAACCTCCCTTTGAAAATTGAACGATTTATAGACCGTCAAAGGATTCTATGGCTACTTTTCCGCGAGGATATCACGGGATTTTGGAACAGCGACCCTTTAAATTGCTACTTCTGCAATGTTGGCATCCAAGACAATTTGGTCCACTATCTATTCCATTGCCCATTCCTACATGAAAAGAGAATGGAAATTCGCGAAATTTCGGAGCTAACTCACCACAATGAACAACATGTATATAAAATCTTTACCGCTCTCCTGCTGGATAAAACATTTGTTTATAAATATTTTAAATTTTTCAAGGCGATTGATAAAATGAGAGAAGAAGTGCTCAACTCCACAGACAACGGCTGATTGCTCCCCCTCCCCTCTAAATTGCTTTTCCTCCTCACTCGTGTACATATATAACCTTTTAGGGGAATCCCCTTGTAAAACAATAGTGTTTTAATAAAGGTTTTGTTGTTGTTAAAAAAAAAAAAAAAACTAGAATGAGGCCAAACATAATCTAACCTCCAATAGGATATTACCTCTAGGATAGAATAGGAGTATTTGTGCTTCTTGGTGGTCTTTGATGAGAGGTTCTACTGTACTATGATACATTACGATATAGCAGGACATTCCTACTACTAATTTATTAATAGAATTAGATTAAAAGAATCGCTGAATGTCAAGTTCATTTGGATGAGGAAAGTGAAGACTAGAATGTGGCTGATTCCACACTAGCCTGTGCAGTGATAATCTTAACTATGCACGAAGGAACGTGTGGCCACTGGACATGTATCAGACCTGTAGGCTGTGGTTGGGTTCTGCACTGCCTGGAGTATAGGAGCTCCATCTATGCTTCCTTCCTGAAGTGAATCTGTATAAGACTGGTGGTCTTAATAAAGCTGTGTGTGACTTTACTACTACTATTCATATGGAATAAAAGGATTTAATTGGGTGTAACCCTGAATCCCTGGCGAAGCAGGAGATTGGAATCCAGAGTCAAGATATTTGTCAGTATATCTGGAATTCCAAGATTGAAAAAGACTTTAACATGAAAATTATGTTTTGTTCTTCCACAAAAAGCCCACCTAAGAAATGAGAAATGTTTGGATAAAAATATTAATAAACAAATAAGTCTATCTTCCACTTTTTATACACAGTCAAGGGGGGATCAGGAATTTCCAAATCTAATTTGTTCTTAAATGTGTTTTGTTTTCAATTCATTATCATTTGAATACAAGAGAATTGTATTATGGTGTGTAAAATGATGTTTAGTTTTGATGGGAGAGGTGACCCTTAATTTAAAATACAAGGTAATAAGACCAAATCCAAATAAATAAATAGTGTGTTACGTTTCGATAAGAGCGTTGTTACCATCTTCAGACAAAAGTACTGAATGGCTTAGAATTCAGACAAAAGTACTGAATCAGAAAATTTTACCACAGCATTATTTTAAATAGTTCCTGTTATCAAGTGTGTAAACAAGATAACAGATAAGAAGAAGATATTTATCTGATAAACAGATGAGTTCAGTACTTTTGTCTGAAGATGGTAACAATGCTATTACCAAAATGTCACACACTATTTATTTATTTGGATTTGGTCTTATTACCTTGTGTTTATAATCTATAATCCAAATTGTGCCTTATCAATTTTATTTTAAAATAATATTATTACTGTGCATATAAAAGGGCTATCTGTATGCTAGAGATAATCTATGTTTGAAAATCCATAAAAAAACTAGGACACAAAATATATTTGAGATTTTTATATTTTGTGAGATATAAAGTGAATAGTTCTTGGAGCTTTAATAGAATTCTTAATGTTCTTTCTTGGCATCTGTGGAACTGAGTCACCAAATCTAGATGATTTTTGAGAAACATATTCCTGTGAATTTTTGACTTCCATATCAATTGATGGTTTCAATTGGACATCCCCTTGTGAATATTTCAGTTTATCAATAGGAGGCAGTTGAGGTATTTTATTCTGTGATACTTTTCTAAAATCATTCGTCATTTCATTTTTTCCTTTTTTCTGTTCTTTGTTTCTTCCTTGAGGATGATCAAAAACTTTGGAATATTGAAGCTGCAATTGTGGATCTGAAAAATTTTCTTTTTCTGAAGATGATGATGTGATTAAATTGCGTTGTGTGGCAGACTTAACATATTTATAGAAGGTAGGCATCATGGTAAATAAAGGACTTTGCATTTTTCTCAGACGTCTATGGATTAGTTTTTGATCAGGATCAGACCGTGGGTCCTCAACTAAGTCTTCGAATCCTGCAATGACATAATGTTAGTTCGACTTCAGAAGGTTAAAAAGATGCAGAAATTCATATGCATATTTACACATACACATATGCATATTTACACATACACATATGCATATTTACACATACACTTATGTATATTCATAACTGAGCTCTTGCCTTAGCTAGTTATACTACATAGTATATATAACCGCCAAAAAACTGAATTTTCAAAATGGTAAAGTTTTAGCTATCTCCACCAAAATTATACACATCGATTTATATACCAAAATGTTTCTTATATATTTTTCCTGAAACACTACTGCTCCCAATGCTTCAAAACAGAAAACATGGATTTACCTCAACAACAATTTTGTCTGGCCATGGGAACATCCAGACTGACTATGCAAGGGTATTGAAAGAAGACCCAACTTGTCCCATTGCCAAGATAAATACCATGGACCACCTCCTCTTCACCTCTGCCCAACCTTCCAATACCAAAGATTCCTGACGGCCATCCTCCTAGGGATCACCAACCTTAGTACAGCATCCTTAGAGAATCTCCAAAGAAAGAAATCTGCCCACCTCAGTAATTAGACTTCCACAGACATTGTAAATGAAACCAAGCCCAGGTAGTTGGTGACTTCTGTACATGGCTCCAGGAAGCTACTGGGTTTTACTTAAATAATTTTTATTTTGTGATGCTAAAAAATATTACACACACACACACACACAAAAGCCTTTATTAAGACACACTGGTCTTATAGAGGATTCTCCCCGAGATTACAAGAGAGATAGGCCTGTGAAAGTGGGGAATATACAGAAGAAGAAAAAGAAAGATTATGTAAGTATGATATATACATACATA